AAGCAGAACACAGCTCAATGTATCAAAAGTATGTCTATGTAATATTAGAATTTTCTGAGACAATGAATTTTGGTTTTTCTTTTGTATTCCCCCAGTAAGAGGTTTTTATTTAATAGAATTTTTGGACAAAAAAATCACAATATATCACGATATATCGCCTTGTTTACAGTATCGCAATATATCGGGATATATCGTATCGTGACCCCTCTGTCATGATAGGTATCGTATCGCCAAATTCTTGCCAATACACAGCCCTAACAAATATAAAGAAAAAAAATTATTTGTGTAGTACTGAGCAAAAATCTTAAAACAGCTTAGCTGCTTTTTTGTCTGAGTCATAATGCTATATAAAAGGAAACGGTAATATACATCAATATTTTATCGAGCTGAGGATGAATCCACCTTTGATTGACAGACTGATCATAAAGGCTTTCAATGTGAAAGTCTCAAGTTGCAGGTGCAATATAAAATCATTCGAGGACAGCAGTTTTACAGCATTTCTGCTGATTCTACCTGGCATTTAATGTAATGTGTCATTAATCAARCTAAAGTATATGAACTGTTGTTTTTGTGCTTGACATGAACTGTGAATGAGGACTTGAGCAGGAGATAAATGGTCAGAGTTTAGAGAACAAAAACCACCAGAAAATAATCTCACGGAAATACCAAAGACACGGACTAATTTTAATGCATCCCTTTCTCTTTATTCATTTAATTAATTAATTTTTGGGCAGGGTGTGTTAATATTGTTTTATAACAGACCAATTCATTGCATACTACAAGTCTAACCTCATGATGTGCAGCAGGGTGAAAGCAGCCAGTGCAATCAGACACCTTCTGAAGACCCCCCAGTTAACAGGGGCAGAGCTGATCTAGATACTAAGATCTGCTGAATGCCAATACTCAGTTACTTACTAAGCTAATCCCACAATGAGATGAGCAGGAGTGCTCTTGGACCACGAAGCAACGCCCTCCTAATAATAACAGAGCAGTGCACTTTCAGCCCCAGCGGGCCTTTTATGCTGACTTTGAATTGGCAACACCTGAATACTTTGAATGAAAAACCARAGGATCTGAGGAGAAACAAACCAAAGGGGAGTCAAACCTAAACGAATGAAAATGCACGAAAACACCAACCTTCACACACGTGCCTGAGGATATACACACACACACACACACCTCTTTTATCCAAGCAGGACTTACGTTAAACCGCTGAACAATGTGGTGACTGCTAAGAGACCTCCGACAAGGTTAATCAATCATACCCATAATGTGATACACATTAGTTTAAAGTCAAAATGTAAAACAATTTCAGTAAAAGCATCTGGCATTTCCGCGTTTGTTGGTCGTTCGACAAACGCAACCAACTATGCTAGCCAGTCTAGCTAAGTAAGAGCGTAAAAAAAAAAAGCTAACTACAGCTAGCTAGCAGCTTAACAGTAGCCACCAAGACATTCATTGGTTTCATACAAAACAAAAACACAAAACGGACTGGTCTACGGTTCCCTTTCTGAAGTAGAAGCTTACCTTTCGAATATAGAGACTTAGGGGAATTAAGGTCGATATCCGAGTTAAGGAGGGATATAAAATCAGAGGGCATCACAGCGCTTCATCGAGGGGAGGAGGAGGAGCGGACAGTCTTTAGAAGAAACAATAATAATTCCTGCGAAATGCTGCGCCGTGTGAGGTACAGCATCGAAACAATCTCGGGGCAACAAAAAACAAAACAAATTCTCAATGAAAGAAAAACAAAAACCGTTATTTAGCACGTCTCACGTTGAGATGTGTGTCTTTGCTGATAGACACGTTTCGTGCTACATCAAGACAAACACACACAAACACAGTAGGCTACTGTTACTCGGCCCACCTCGTGGCCCCGCCTACAAAAGCAGTGTTGAGCATGCGCAGTAGGTTAAGTGAGGTTACACGAGTGTGAATCGCATAAGGAAGTCATACCATTTTGCTGCATTTCCAGAGTAGATTCAGACGAAAGATTTGTTCATGTTATTTCATGATGCTCCTCTCAAAGCTGATTTTTTACAGACCTGGTTTTATAATAATAGAAAGTGTGGAAGTGAATTTATTGCTTTGTGTTAAAGGGACCCATGATTAGTTGTAACATTAGACTTGATTTGATGTTTATTTTAACTGTAAAATAAAGACTGTAAAATACTGTAGGCTGTTCAGTTTTTAGAATTTTTAAACCAAAAGTTTAAAAATATATTACATGGATGGAGCCATTTTATTTACACTCAAAGCATTCTGGGTAAATGATGACATGGATAGGTCCTCCGTGCAAGGCTGCTAGCGAGCTATATCCACCCTGAAGGTTAATCTTGGACAATATCTGATGACTGGCTCTTTTAAATGAAACCAGAGAGCGTTGACAGAGAGGAGAAGGTATGAATGACTCAGTATGTAACTGAAAATATGCATGGAGGACAACAGAGCTGCTTCATGGAAGAAGAACCTCAGCTTAGCCTGTTAGCTTTAGCATTAGCGCCGACGCTATCACCATATATATGTATTAGCTCAGCACCACACATTCTCCTCTCGTTACTGAAGTCCTCCATCCACATGACAGAGAGGGGAACGCAAAAATGACTCAGCCTGCAACAGAAAATATGGATGGAGGACCTCAGTTTAGCTTGTTGGTCGCACTAGTGCCAAGCTAATACATATAAGGCAGTATAGCGTCAACGCTAGCGCAAAGATTAACAGGCTAGGCTGAGGGTCTTCTTCCATGAAGCAGCTCTGTTGTCCATCTTTTTTTTTTTTTTTGGTTGTAGACTGAATCATTTCTACCTTCTCCTCTCTGTCAACGCTCTCTGGTTTCATTTAAAAGAGTCGATCATCAGATATTGTCCAAGATAAACCTTCAGGGTGGATATAGCTCGCTCACACCGAGGACCTATCCGCATCATCATTTACCCAGAATGCTTTGTGTGTAAATAAAATGGCTCCATCCATGTTTAAATATATTTTTAAAAAATTACAAAACTAAACAGCAAACAGTGTTTTTACAGTCTTTATTTTACAGTTAAAATATTTTTTTTTATCAAATAAAGTCTAATGTTACAACTAATCATGGACCCCTTTAAGCCATCATGGACAGTAGATCATTGTACTGTTTCTGTATTATGTCTCCGTATCAACAAGGGCCATTATGTTTTTTTTTTTTTTTTGCATGATTGTGATATTGCAGGGGAGTCTTTCATTTTGACTCAGTGATGACTCAGTTTGGTGTTAGTCATCAAAGGTTAAAGTACCACTCCTCAGGGTCCATGCTCTTATGAACACATGATCAGTCTTTAGACACAAAAATGAAGTCAAAAACAAAAAGATTAAGTTTTGTCATCATTTTTCATGATCAAAAGTTAATCATTACAAAATCTATCATAGGGATATTTTATATTTTTTATCCAAAAGCTCAAATGTAAACACTTTCTGTGACATAATAAGTTACAAAATCTTGCAAAATCTTTTTGTTTGGCCCAATAATTGTTGAATAAATCTGAAAACTTATCTTACRTGTTATTTAAAAGCACAAAGCCAGGCCCGTGGAATACGTGGTGAAGCACTTTGCTGAATGATGAACATCTGACCCTGGGGTGAATGTGCTTTCAAAATTTTGGGAAGAAATTAAACCATTGTTTCCCCACCAATTTGTAAATAATCATCCTGATGTGGACATATTAGACAGGACAGAGAAAGGCAGGATACAGAACCAAGATGTGGAAAATTAAACATCTTGTTATACTTTAAGTTAATGTGTACAGTCCTCAGTGTTTTTCACTGTGGCTGTGTGACTATTTAGAGGTGGAACAGGTCGGTTAATTTTTCTCTCAACATTCATGATTCTTTCATTCTTTCATGGGCTTCAATACACATGCTTTTCATGATGTGTTTGTGTTTAAATTGGCTATTAAAATTTCAGAGTAAGATGGTATTAAATATAATTTGTAATTGTTTATTTGATTGTCAACTATAGTTTGAAAATAACCACAATAGATGGATTTGTTAGTTCTTATTTTATTTGAAAGTTTTGTGTTTTTTCATATGGATGATACATCATGTTTATTCATCACATCTCAAAACTGTGAGGATCTGTGGTCTTGTGTCTTGTCTGCTGTCTCCCTCTTCTGTCCATTTCATGCCTTTGTTATTTCACCTCAGTCCTCAGTTCTCTCTAGCTCATTCCTCCTCACCTGTCTGTTTGTAATCARCCCTTTCTYAGCTGTAGTTCATCATCCTCATTCCTTCTGTGTATACTGTATATTCTGGTCCATCTCCTTCATTCACGGCTGATKCATTGTATGGCTTCAGTCCATCGTCYCGGTCCCTCATCCTTTTGTGTGCCTCCAAGAAGTTTTGTATGTTTTGCTGCCTTGTCAGCTTTTGTTTTTGTTATTAAATATTTTATCGTTTGAGCATTTTTGAGTCTGCCTGCTTTTGGGTTCATTCACCCCACGCCCGTGACAAAAACTAATCTAGTTTAGTACATACTTGATGGAAGTTTAAATAGACACTTCAACATCTCAAACAGAGTTTTTAAGATATCAATTGTTCATTGCTGAAAGGTGAAATAATGTTTTTGCATAATAAACATTTGATAAATAATCATTGGATGTAACTCTACAACACTATTCAAGATGGCCTTGGAAAACACAAAAACAATTTTATGAAATGGGTCTTAATTGTATACAGAAAGAATCCAGCCATGTGGTGCTCGGCAGATAAGAGAAAAATCTAAATTGAACCGGATTTTGCTGCCTCTTCTCCGCCTCAATTTCCCATAATGCAATTCGGCTGTCGTCACTGTGTTATTACGGAAGTGCTACTTTTGACAGCCGCATTCGTCTCTCAGAGCAGATACATTTTCTCTCTGGGTCTCTGTGCGTGTATTTCTCCGTCGTTTACGACCAGAAGTTGAAATATGGCCATGAAATACGCCGGTATGGATGATACGGACAGCGAGGATGAGTTACCGCCCGGCTGGGAGGAAAGAACTACGAAGGATGGTTGGGTTTACTACGCCAAGTGAGTGAAAACGGTTAACTTTCAAACAGCGTTTATTAAAAAAACTAATACAGCRCATGTATGTAAACAAACCTAAACACTCAGATTAATCATGCGTAAATCTGCAGTTAAAGYCTCTGTTACTCTGGGAATATACATCCAACAAAGGCCACGTTAGTACAAGTCACTGCAGGTGTTTAGGTCGTGAAATAAAAACCTTTATTTTATGGTAAAGTTCTGTTCTTTTCTTTGCTTTACACAGAAAATGTTTATTGAAGGCATCAAGTAGAGAAACATAGCCAGTTTAGGTATTTAATAAAGCTACAGTGATAGTTGCAATGATGAAAAGTAAATTTATTTTGGAAGGTCTTCAGCTGTTATAGGCTTCCTGTTTATCTTTATTTGTTGTTTTATGCCTGTGCAAATTTTATTTCATTTAGAATTGTCTGTTTTCTGTATTTAAACTTAGCACAAAAAAGTAAGGAAATCTGTATTTAGTAAGTACTGTATATTTTTTCTTTGTTGTAACAATGCAATGTAATTTGTACTGTTGGAAATCCTGTTAATTTCCCTTTTTAAATGGTGCCACATTTGTAAGGAACATGCATTTGTGGGATGAGCAGTAGAGCTAAGTATGTGGGTTACGCACATGAAAAATTTGCCAAATCTTCTCTGCTGAACGGTTTATTTTTGCTGTTGCTATTACCAGCTACAAGATTTACTGCCAAGAAGCGTTG